TCTTTTTCATGCTCGCAGCCAGAGCAATTTGAATATTTTTGCTAATGGCTCTGCAGTTTCATCGCTGAGCTCTTTGGAACTCTTGGCTGAAACCCATGTGAGCATGTGACTTGTTCATCAATTTGGTCTAAAACTTCATCTAATGTCACCTCAAGTTGAGACACTTCTTCATATTCAATCAACTAAGAGGGATGGATCTAGTGCAGGAATCAACCCAACCTCCTCCTTGGTGAAGACTGATGCCAAGAATTCAGTTAGCTCCTCTGCCAGGGCTTCCTGCTTCTGCTGTATTTAGCAAAAACCAAGACAAAACCTGCTTTTATGTCATTAGCAAGATGCTCCTCAAATTCTCTCTTAGCCTGCCTTGCTATGGTTTTCTATGCAACTGGCTAGAGCAGCGATTCTCAGGCAGGGTGCCGCATGAGGTCCTCTGAAGGGTGCCACAGGACACGCGAGGGGATAAGGGAGGCGGGAGGAGATATGCAGATAAGGGCAGGCTCAGGCTTCCTCTGGCTGGCGGCAACCCCTGCCCCCACTGCCTACCCCTCTGTAATAAATAAATCAGCTTGTGAAATGGGGTACTACTCAATTAACCAATTATGAAGGGGTGCCTGGAGTCTAAAAACATTGAGAACCACTGGGCTAGAGACCACATACCTGTTTTCCTCACATGGGCATGGCTTCCATTTTTTTGAACGATGCTTTCTTGCTTGTAACAGCCTCCCTAACCACTATGAAACTATGTTCATTTTTTCTGGACTATTTAGTGTCTTTTTAAAATGTGTGATATACGTTTCTTCTGACCCTCTAACACCGTTTTTAAAAGCATCTGTAGCCATTTTACCCTTTTGGCCTCACCTTTTAGTTTTGTTCAAACGAACGTCCTCATATTCATGTCATTTTCCTTTGTGAAGGTTAAATATTGCTGTGCTGCACTTTTTGGGGGAGGAGGGAAGGAAAGGAGGGTTGTTGAATATATTATAGGCACTTCCATAATGCTTGAATCGGGTCCCATTTACTCCGGACTAAATCAAGAGTTGCTAATCCTATTGTGGGTTCCAGAACTAAACGCCTCCTCCCCATCCTTGGTGTTTATACCTTTTAGAGACTTGTAGAGAGTTATTTTCCCTGCTTAAGTAACAACCACGGTGCAGCACTTCAGTACTTGCTGATGTTCTTCTCCCCCCAGTTTATCCCATCTCTCTAGCATTGAACTACTCTCAGGTGAGGTCAGGAAAACTGAAGCTAACACAGTTCCACTGTGGATAAATTTGGCTTATTGTATGGACAATATTCATCCCAGTGAAATACAACGACAGAGCAAGAACTCGGTTGCAGAATTGGAATAGGAAGTATGAAGTGAACAGTCATATTTTCGTGCTAATTTCAATGTTTACAATATTTCCTTTAAACATAAGATTATTTCCTGCAATTGATGCAGTCTGTTTTCCAAGATTCTTCAACAAACACTACACTACTTGATTTCTTATCTTTATGATATTGATATTTAAGAACCATGCTATCCATATTTATTAGGTTTACAGAGGATATGCAAATAGTCAATGCTTTGTACGTTATGCTGTAATAGTACAGTAAGTAAATAAGGCCAATGAACCACACAGCTGTTAAGGTATATTTTCCTCGTTTACAAATGTGCATGTTAAAGTTAATGAATGACTGATTGAATCATCATGTACCTTAATCACCTAGTATAAAACAAATAAGAAACCTGCTATTCTATTTTCTCATTCTGAATCTAGTCCCAAAGAACAGTAAGTCTATTAAGCAGTCCGTTGTATTAAAAGTATAAAAACCATTTTCAAATACTAATGCATATATACCGATGTGTATGTGACCTCTTCTAGGTTCCCCAAAGATGTCTTTCCTGAATATGCCCCTAGCTGTTTTTGCTGTGTTTTTACTGATCTGCACATCAAGTTCAGCTCAGAAAAAGGAGGAAGAAGTTTGGAAGGCACGTCTTCAGGATGTAGACAATCTGGAACTGGTAGAAAATGTGACTGCAATTCGCAATCTGGATGATGTTTTATTCAGGAACGGTAAGAACAGCCTTTCTTTCCAGCTATTTCATTGATTCAAGACAGGATGAACTATAATGATAAGTCTAATTCAGTCTCCTGTATTCATATAACCCATAGAATTTCACCCCTCAATTTTACCCTGCAACGTTAATTAGTTCTTCCCCATCATGTAATTAATGTCATCCATGTCAATAATTGGTGGTTAATGATTGGCATAGCTTTTTGAAAGATAATTAATATTGAATTCAAACATCAATTCTGTGATGAATTTGTTACTTCTCTCAGTAAGATGCTTGAATGGTTAACAACAGACCTTACAGTTAAAAAGTATGTCTTATTTCTGAAGTTCTCCAATATTCAACTATTGGATCTTGTTAAAATTTACATTTTCCAGGGGAAAAAAATGAATACAACTCTCTGCACTTGTGTAACAAAATGTAAAGGGAAAAAAAAGCTTTTGGGATCACTGGCTTTTATTTTCCTGTGGCAAACGTCTAATCATTGTAGGCATATAATGAATATCCAAACATTAAGAATTGATGCTTGCTGCCTTAGAGGAGCATAATTCTCAACTATTATTAATGAGGAACTATAAAACACACTTCAAGTTTTATGCCCAAATTACATGGGGTTTCCATACCCCATAAAAACATCTATTGGTATCTTCAGAGAATTATATAACATGGTTTTATACGGCAGCCATTGAGGGGGTGGAATGCATTTCATTTAAGAAAAGATCTTACAAGGAAAACCGTTCTACAGAAATTCCCTGCTCTCTGTTTTTAAAATATTTATACATGCCACTAACAGAGTCTGGAAATTAAAAAAATGGTTTTCAAAACTGGCACGGCTTGATGTTTTCAATCTCCTTTCAGAAACAGAGCCAGGGTTTCAATTTACAGTAATCCATTTCTTGTTTAAGAATGAATTCAGCTTTACAGTAGCATAATGGATTATGGCTTTCTTCTGACACTCGCATCCATTAATTTTCTCTATAGTTACAGTGGAGTAATTTACCAGTTTTCACTTCTGGGAACCTTTGTGCTGGTCTTAGAGCACAAATTAAGGGCGAGGTCCTTGCCTGGTATGAACTGGATTAGCTCTATTGATCTGAATGCAATTTTGTAGTATTCTACTTTGCCCTGGATAGGAATGGGGAATGTGTGGATTTTCTAAAAACAGGAAAATGTGGGGGAGCCATGAAGGATCAAACTGATTAATCATTGTTTAGGGGGTTGTGGAGAGACTTCTGTCCAATTCTCTCATGCTGTTGTCATCAGTAGGAGTCACCCCACTGAAATCTATACCATAAATCCACCAGCATAAATATAGCGCAAAGGATATCAGACTCCAAGCAGCTAAAGGAATAAGGGAGAGAAAGCAGCATGTAGGAGAACCAGGAGGGAAACCTTTGTCTGAGGAGTAGGGTGAAGGGAAGAGTGGTCTATGGAGTCCTGGTAGCAGGAGATTTGGGAGGGAGAGACAAAGGTGGGCTAAGTGGAGCATGGATTGGGCTGGTCAAGTATTCACACGCTCGATAAAAGAATGACCTAGTCTGTAACGCAATGTTCTTCTTCAGACAAGGACACTGTACAGCCTGGCAGGGTTAACTGAGTCTGTGCAGGGTGCCGAGACTGGAATAGTAAGTGCCTGAAAGATATCCCAAAAGCGAGACACAATTTGTTACTAAAATTGCTATTTTGGTATCAGGTAGAGCTGAGCAAGTGCATGAACTTTCACATTATTCACTGGAACCGTCAAAGAATGAGGGATTATTCCACTTGGTTCTGGGTAGCCTTTCTTCTGGCTATTTAATCCCTCACTATTGTAACAGTCATTTGAATGAATACTTTGCCAAAGAACATAAAATTTACCCTAACAGAAGCCTGTTGAGTGCTTTGCAAGCTATCCTAAATCAGTGTGAAAAGCAAAATCAAATTCAGTAGAAAATACAGGCTTTTGCTTCAGTTAGTTTTAGGCAATTGCAATAAACAGAAATAGTGGAAACTGCCAGGAGATGCAGCTTGGAAGTCAGCTTCTAGATGACAACTTAGACGAAACGAGGGTCATGTATGCACGACACTTTAAAGCGGGCTAAATGCTTTTGCACTGCTTTACTGGTGTCAGTGTTTGCATGCCTTGGCAGCATATTGTGCATGAATTCCAGCCGCTGTAGGCAATTTGGCGGCGTAATGCGCTT